ATTAATAAAAAGAGTATAGGTAGGTTTTGGTAAGGCTTATATTTTCAAACTGAGACTCAAATTTCACCATCATCCGATTTCACGATAATCCGCGACAATATACCCGGGTGGGTAAAAAGTCTCTAAACAGGACCCTAAACGGGATTTTTTTCTATCTCCGTTGATATTTAATTCTAGACGAACCAAGATAACCACCCAAATCAGTTACGCACGGAGTTTAAATACATATAATTTAATATAACAATAAAAATTTTCATAATAAGATCACCTGAAAATTCATATAATACTGAGTATAAATCGTATTTTTACGTAAATGATTTGGGTGGTTATGCTTGAGGGGTTTTTAATTCTATTTATTTTTATACCAGATGGGAAAAGTCTCCAAACAATCCCTTTTTACTATCTCCGCCAAGATTTATTCATACAATTTACACGACCCTAGCATCGCCCATAAAAAAATGTCGCTGACGTTACTTGTGATATATGGTAATAATGAAGATAAATTGACCCGTGTCACGTGACCCATAATTACGAATCAATGAATAATCAATTTAAAATTATTAGTACCGTATAGCGCTGCATATAGTACCCCCTGGAATAGTATCCCCCTTTTTTTTACAAGCGATTTGTGGTCCAGTTTTCATAATAATAGTGCGGTCTTTTCATTTGGTTTGATATGTTTAATAACAAAGTATATAGTGATCAGTAACGATTATTTGTGTTATCCTTCCATCTCTCGATATTTGGGGGTATTATTCAATCTAGACCGGTTTTTTTGTAAAATACCCGGGGTACTGTATGCAGCGCTGTACGGTAATCAAATTATTCAAATTATTATATTTACAAGCGACGTCGGCGACATTTTTTATGGGCGATGCTAGGGTTGTTTACAATTTACAATGATTACTAATTATAAATGTCAGAATGATGTTCTTAGTGATTAAAAAAAAATCTTAGTGATTAAAAAAAGAACAAGGTCCTGTTTAAAGACTTTCCACCCACCCGGTATTACAACTTATCCGGCATAATGGTGACGAATACAGATTAACAGAATAATAACAACGCACGTGGCCTTCGGCCACGTGCTTTTGTTATCATCCTGCCAATAACTGTGTATTCGTCAGATCATGCCAGATAACAAGAAATAATAACATCCTACAATTACTTTGCCCATGGAGTCTAATCGAACTGGACTTTCATATCCCTATAAACCTATAAATAATTACATTATATTACATATCACTTTTACCAAATTTACGATTTTATTTTAGCTCTGATAAGGAGAATATTTTCTTTCAGGGAATGTTTTAAAAGTTCTTCCTTATCCATTATGATACCTAAACTTTGGTATCTCGCTATATTCATTATTCTTTTTATAAATACGGATCTTGTTACTAATATAAATGCAGAAGGGGAAAATGAATTTATTCAACGAGAACGAGAACTAGATTTAGATAGAAATGATAAACCAAGCAATATATTTGTTGGATCTGTAATTGGCGGTGAGTTTCCTTGAGTATTTACTTATTGTTATTTTTTTTTTATCTCACCGTTGGATTCACTGTATTGAATAATTTAAAGGAGGAAGCCATCTCAATCCAATATTGGAAATTTGCAAGATTTTGGAGGGTCGTGGGTATAAAGTAAACTATCAGATAATGTAAATTATCCATATCTATTCACTTTTCTCTAATCCGGCCTATCTTTTCAAAAAGATAACATTGGTAGCTCCTGGAAATTTTACAGCGAAATCAACCTTATACCACTCAATTCCGCAAATCATTACTGGAGAACTTGAATCTCGTGCATCTCCAACGTATAGGGAAGTATTTTTTTATAAATATACTTTTAAAACTTTGGCCACCGCAAGAATGATGTCTAATAAAAGATATATCGAGAACTTTAATAAATATCTTCAAGCTTATAAAGAGACTAAGCCTGATTTATTTATTTGCGACTATGTGGCGAATGAGGCTTGCTTTGACCTAGCGTGGAAATTTAAACAACCCATCGTTGGATTTAGTGCCTCTACGATGAGTACGTATGATTTATTTTTTTGTGAATTAGGATATAAATAATCATTGGTTATTCGTTGTCTATTTTCTAATTTATTCCTTTATTGCAGTTTTTACACCTCCACCTCCCTATAGATCAGATCCGATATTTGATTGTCATGTGAGCATGGAGAATGAATCATTCTACAATCGGTTTATATGTGCTGTAGTACAGCCATTACGACTTAGCTGGCAATTTCGAAAAAATATAAATTATCTTAATTCTGAAAGAGCCAAAGTAGGCGTTAGTGAGCATAATGACTTTAGAGGAAGAATAATTAATACATTATTTTTAGTTGATAATTTCTTTGGATTTGAGGTATTTCGTTTTCTTTAGCTTGTTTTACTAAAAAGCTTTTTATTAATTTATTTCTATTGTCTTTATTATAGGTCCCA